AAAATGTTGATTTAAATTTACCAATCACAAGTAAATAATCGTCGAAAAACAATAGCGTATTAAAATGTAAAAAAAAAAAAAAATTAGAAAAATATTTCGTTACTAAAATGTTATGGGCACTTTGTCTGCATTAACTAAAATTTAATTGATTTTCTCAAATTAAATTCTTCAGTTTAGTAGTTAGCGACATAATTCCTTAACGTCAAGTATCGCCATCGGCACATATTGTTATTAAAATCATTTGTATAATTCGCATGTAAAACAACAAGCACTTTTAAATTCACCGTCATTGTTTGTATTTTATACCGACTCTTGTTTTGTGTAGGTACCATTTATTACAAAAACMCGATGGTATTTATTTTGTACGCTGCAAGATTCGACTTTACTTCACGATTTCCTGTGCAATTAAAATCTGGGGGTTTTCGAACGTTAAGAATTTTTTTTTATATTACCTATCATCTATATATATATATATGGTTGGTTGATAATATAAGTATGTGAGCATGTCTTCCAATAAGATGACATACAGTCTTGTATGAAACATAATTTAACATATATTAAACATATATAAACATATATACATAAACAATTAAACATAAATTATTATAAATTTCAGAGCATATGCAAAGGATGGAATTTTTATGATAAAATATAACAATTGATGATATTTTACAATATATAAATATATTTTGTAGACATGGTTTGAAAGGATGAATACTTACCATGAGTGTAAAATGTTATGTTCTGTGAGAAAATCTTGTACATGCATTGGGGCCCCGAGGGGTTGAAAGTTTGTGATGGTATTGTGACAGAGATACGTAATAATAAATTATGCTTCAAATAATATAAACGTGTACATCAACAACTCGAAACAAATAATATTATTATTAAATCACTGAAACGTTTATAAAATAATCTATTTTATGTTAATTACATTACTTAATAGGAAACAAAATTATTAACGGGAGACGAAAAAACTAAATAAACTTACTTATTTTTTTTTTCACGAAGTAATTAAAAATATTGTTTTGAACGATTCAAAATTATAATATTTATAAATATTATTAGCAATAAAATATGAGTATAAAATAATATGTTCAATATAAAATTATTGAAATATGTAATGTACATAAATATTGATTATTGTGAAATGTGAGAATTACAGCATATTATACTATGTTCTTGTTTTATGATTTAGTATCAATTTCAAATAATAAAAACAAGAATTTTTTTATACTTATTTTTTGATGAGTACCTATTGGTCGATTTTAGTTTGTTTAAACTTTTTTAACATCAAATTACTATAATATTAACATATGTTCTCAATCATAAATTGTAAATTGTAGTGCAATATTAGTTATTGTTATTCATTTTATTTAGTTTACTGAATAATTACGAGTAGGATAGTCAAATCGATTATATTTAATTATAATTAAATATGTAGGCACTTAATATTTTAACATTATATTATATTATTATTATTTTGTTAGACTAGGGTCAATACTTTGAAGCTTTAGCTGAAAACTTTTTCCCTTTCAACTAAACATTTTGTGAAAATCTGTTATCCAGTTTTTTCATTAATTACATTTGTTTATACAAAATACGATATGTATTCATAATAAAAGAATAATTTATAAGTAAATGAAAATCCGTAAAAAAAATTTAGAACTTGCAATGGACTTGTTTATTTTCTCGTAACCATTTCTTATTTTTTATCGTTTTATTCTATTATTTTAATTTATATTTAAGTTTTTATAGTTTTGTTATTTTAAATATATTAACTCCGTCGCTATGTATAAATTATATATTACGTCAGTGTTTGAAAAATGTTCGGAAATATTTTGATACCTCAAGGCTTATGTTATTGTTAAATGAAAACTTTGTTGAAAATATCCATTMAAAACTATTCTATTATAATAAATTATTAATGTTATTATCAATATCAGAGAAAGAAAAATATTAATATTTAAACGTATTAGTATAGCTTATATAATATTCAAGCAACTGATATAATAATTTCTCGGTGTAAATCTAAAATCGATTGAACCTGAGATGAGAACTTGACGACGACTTAAGGAGATCTTACAAATATAGAGACAGTATAAGACATTGTTTAAACAAACCATTAAATGGAAATATAATGAGCCCCGATTTATTTCACCTCTWTCTCCCAATAAGGATTATGTAACGATTACCTGCGGTGTGTTACGCGCATTCTAATGATGGAATTATAATAGTATATTATATTCCTATAAACAAGACAAGGCATTATTGTTTTCCTGGTGTCAATTATTATTATTATTATTATTATTATTATTGTTATTATATTATCTGTCACAAACACCACTGAAATAAGTACGAATCTTAACAACATAATTATATTATTAATTTTATAATAGAAAAATCGAAACCGTTTTCAAGTCTTGAGACGTGAGAGACCAATATTATACAAACTATAGAAATATATCGTTTTCTGCATATGTATCTATGAAAAGTATGTTATCACTTATCAGTATACTTACAATCAAAAAAATATGGCCTCAAATGGCCAGTTATAGAAAAATTTTAAAGTAAAGTTCAAAATTTTTGTTCAAAAAATATAATATGAATTACTAAAATGCGCGTMAAATGTTAAAAAAAATTGATAAATAATTTGTTCGATACATAATATGTATAATGGGTTATACTATTTTGTTTTTCATCTCCAGTATACGAAGCTGATATAAAATTTAACGAAAAAAAATAAGAAATTGCATAATACAGAGTCTAAGAGTTACTATAGGTTAGATACGGGGCGGATCGTCCTCGCTTCACCAGTGTTGAGTTGTATCTAGATACATTTATCTAGATGAAAATTAAGTACCTTTATCTTATCTAGATGAATAAATTATATAATATCTAATWGGTATCTAAGATTTAAGTTATGGAAATCTACATAAATATCTAGATCTTTTCTTGTGTACAGGCTTTGACGTTCTTAAACTCTCCCAAAAAGAATTGAGTGTTTTAGAAGATTATCCCATAGTTAAACAAGTGTTCTTAAAATACAATACAACAATTCCGTCTTCAGCTCCAGTTGAACGACTTTTCAGTGTATTACTTTCCAAGTATTAACACACAGGAGAAATCGTCTAGGAGACAAAACGTTTGAKATGCTACTATGTTGCAAGTCAAAGAACTAAACAAGCATGACATATCATTATAATTTATTTGTTTAACAATTAAAATATTATTAGTATTTATATTTTAATTTGCAGTTTGAATGTCATATAAAAAATATAAACTGGTTTTTTAAACCAGAAAATATATATGTTAGTTACAATAATTGGTAATTAACCATGATTTTGGTWATTTGATATTTTGTTATACRTTGAAATTGGTACCTACCGTATGCTAAATATAATATATAGGTATTTAAATATGTATATATGTATATTTATTCATTAGGCAATATATTTTTGACGCGAAACGAGCCTTCCTGGTTTGCCTCCCTTAATCAATTACTCAACCAAGAATCTAATAACATGGCAAGCATTAATACAAATTAACTATTGTAAGATATAAATCTAGATGAAAAAATGTTATCTACATATTTATCTAGATAAAAATTAAAAATTGAATAGTTTATCTTCATATTAATCTAGATATTTATTTAGCAAGTACCTAATCTAATATTTATCTAGATGTTATTTATTTTTTGCTATCTGAACTCAACACTGCGCTTCACGCATCTTCACGCTTCACTGTGTTATGAAACTACTTACGATAAAAGTGTTCGATCGTCTATCCAGTTAACTGACATGCAGACACCTACAAACAACTTTCCAATAATAATATGTACAATGCGAAAAACTGAATTTCATATAATATCAATATAATACCTATATATTTTGACTGTACACGTGAATTATAATAGTTTCACGTCTATACAATATACCTAAGTCATATAATAATGTGTTATTGTAGCGCGCTTGAGGCCGTGCGCACAATGAAAGTATTATAACAATACACAGCAACATAAGTGAACCTTTTTTTTTAAGATCGTACATAAAACATAATGAAATCGCATACTGTTGTAAGAGCCGTTAAAATACCACCAGTATTTCATCTCTACTTTACAATAATTTTTTTTTATGGATTCCATTCCACTGTATAAATAAGTGAAAATCTGCATAGAACGGCATTTTTCTTTAGCCCCGTCAAAACCGATGTTAGTTCATAATGACATATGAAAAATTAAAATAGAATCTATTTGACGGTGAGACAGAATATGTAATCAAATTACAATATTATGATATTATATTATTTACTTGGAGAAACTGAATTTCATTAAATTTATGATCAAATGACGACATGCGATCGAGCATCAATAATATTATAATACCTTWATTTTCATATTTTGCCTACGACAAAAATCTTACAATTAATTTGCTTCTAGTTTTTGAAAAATATATTTGTTTTTCTAAATCTAAGAACTAACTTTGTGTTAAATGATGAATTCACACAAATATCTGTTGTTAAATAAACAATTTTAACTCATCAAAAATGTTGAAAACCATAATTATCTATTTGAAAATTTTATAACCAATAGTTATATTATTATAGGATGACAAAAAATCATAGTAATTTATTGTTGACGTTTTACTCATTAAAATACTTAGGTGTAATAYATTTATATTTATCTGTACAATAAAATGAAAAACAAATATAATTTAAATATCTAATAACAAGTAGCTTGTAATAGTTATAAAACTATACATTTAATTTTCATAAGCAATGCATCTAGTAAAATACTTACGAGAAACAATAATTTTTGTGTACACATTTTTTTTTTTTATTATTATTTACCTTGAATATTTTGAATGCATAAGGATTGGTCATAGTAAATTTACATTTATTTGTATGGTTTATCATACTTAACAGATATTTTAATTAGATTGACATAATTGAAAACGAATAGTTTACTTATAATATGCGTTATAATTAAATTTCCCAAACTGATGTCTATAAAATAAAATAAAGACGGATAGTTTTGGGCAGACTTTTATTTAAAAATAAATTATCAGGAAAATCGGCATAAAATCGCAGTCTAAGTAGTATCTATAACTTAATTACGGTATAATATTACAAAATAACCCGAAATAACAGTAAACGATTTCGTGTGATACGATTTGCCGTGGCTACATTATTGTATAATATTATATCRTCACAAAAATAATGTTATGTACGACTATACATATTATGTACGATCGCCTTAAGTAATAATAATTGGACATTTTAATAAGGTACTACGGGTATATTTGCAAAAATTTATCTTTCGGGTGATCGGAAGCGGACGAAGATTGTGAGTTTAAACGGGTAGAATAATATAGGTAACAATATTATGATCATCGCGTTTACTGTATGGTTTTTCCATTGTCAGTGGCCGGCAATCGAGATAGTCTGTCGTCAAAAAAACGTACGGTGCCCATTTTACGCTGTCTCCTCTTCACCCATCTATTGCCGCCAMTGATGCCGTTTCCAGACAGATGTGGCGATTCGTCGTTATCCAGGAGCACCACAAACGAATCCGTCCGATCGACCTTCTTTGCGTCACCACTAGCTGTGCAATCCACTACTTCCAAACGGAATGCCGGTTTTTTTATAAAGCGTCTGGAACGTCTGAAATCAAATTCTCACAGTCAAACGACGACAACAATAATAAATATTACTTAATAATATATTTTATTCGATTGATATACGCCCAAGCAGACATTTTTTTTTTTTATATATATGTATATTGTATATACAATAATTACAATGATAATATTTTGTATAAACGAACGGTATGACGTCACTTTGTTTGCACATCGCCCACAAGTATAAAACGAACACGTCAACGATAAATTATGATATTGACACTATAATATAATAAATAATTTTTCGAATTACTGATAAAAATCAACCATTAAGCTCTGTTTAAATTTGAAATAAGCAATGTTGCTGTAGGTTAGGCACACATTTTCAAACATAATCTCTCTGCTATGGCTGTACAACCATACAGTCCAAACTTATTGTCAAAAGCCTCCAGACATTCTATTTATCTACACAGTATAATTAAATATACATAAAAATATTCATGCAACTATCTGTACATTTTATAATAGTTGGTATATTGATTGCCTAACGAAAATATTGCATGATTTTTTGGGTAAAAAAAATGAGGGATTCGGTCAACAATCGTTAATCATTAATATGTGTACTTTCCTATATTGTTGAACCTTTTTAAACGTTGTACATTCAGTTCCAAATGTCGGCTAACCGATATTAGTCAGAAGACGGTGGAAATATGCAAAAGATATTTATGTCATAATGAATAAAACACATATTTTACCGGTATATGACGTATCAAACACTAAAACTCGTGTTGGACGTCTTCGAAGTTATTTCTGTCATACCTACGTATATTGTGTTTRGCAAGAGTTGGGGGGTACTTGTCACACTTAATCAATTTAAACCTAACGCTTAACGCGAATATTTCGCATTCAGAAAACGGGATGGAGTTTATCACCGATAAAGTAATTACAAAGCTGCCATCGTGTTTGATGTGAGATGGCATGGTACAAAGCGCGTATCGACTTCTTCTCTTCGCCGTTAGCAAATTGAAACAAAGGGACAGCTTGAACAAATAATCAAGCTTAAAATTAAACTGCACATAAATAATGATAAAATTAATAGGTGGTCTATATTATAATTAATAATTTTGTACCACGGCGCTTTGTATATGCAATTATGATACACGAAAAGCTTGTGGGTAATGATATTATTATTATTATGTTTAAAATCAGAAATTTCTATACAATATAACTATTGAAGTGTTCATGAATACTGGCAGTACAATATTTAATTATATAGTGGACACCAAAACTATAAGGTACTTCAGTTCTTGTTCAAACATGATAATATCTGTTAATTAATTTATATTTTTTGTGTTATATAATAATATTAACCCATTAAACCCAGATAGAATATTTTAGTATTTTTATATTTTTATATTTTACACTTTGAAATTACCCAAAATACAAATTTGAAAATCTATATACCTACATATATTTGTTTATAGCGCTGTAAAACTTATATACTATACTTCTTTAATCTATCATTAATGTATGGATAAAAAAAAATGAATTTATATAATTCCGGTAGTATAAAATATTTGGTATGATTAATGGCCTTCTTTATGAGTTTTAGTTTTGTTTGTGTAACTTAATATCACGAGTCTGCGGTAATTTTAATAATATGTAATAATTATAAGTATAGGTAACATGACCGGTGACTGTGCGTACAGACATCAGCTATAGTGTATGACGCATTTCTTTGAAACTATATGTTTTTTAGCGTACATGAAATTTATTTAACTATAACTTTGCGTTCATACTTTGCTTTCCTTTTACTTTTTAGTACTATTTTTAATACCTTCTTCATTTATCCTAACAAAAAAGTATAAAAATTTTTCGTTTTTATCATATTTTCTTACATGCTATTAACACGTGTTGCATTTTATTATGGTGCTATTTCTAACACAGAACAATTGTTTGGATTTGTCCCACAATTTATTCCGTTTAAAACAATTAGGTAGAATTTATATACGCGTTGAAAAAAAAATATTTGGTTATATTTTTCTCTTGATATTTTAAATATAAGTAAGTCAGTATGTTTTGATGCCAACGTCATTGTTATTAAAAACGGTTGCAATAAAATATGTTTTATTATTTATACAGTTTTACAATTATTGTTTTGTTGTTTAAAATTAGCAACTATAATCTACTCCATTGCTGCTAAAATAAACTAAATATAAGCTCTTTGTATATTTTAATAAAATATTCTTTTTATTTTGTAGATTATTGTTTTTAACAAAAAAACAAACGCCCAACTTTTAAAACTTTTAAAATATTTAAACATAAAACATTAATACTATATTTGAGTTGTCGTATATTTTGTGTTACGGTTGAAGAAAAATTATTGCTAAAATAACAAATCCAATTTAATTTAAAATTATTTTTAAGACTATTAGAAAAATTATATTGAACAATATTTACTTAAAGAGTTTCTTTAAAATTTTTACATATACATCTGAATAATAATCTTTGTAATATTTTGTTTTAATGAACTTAAAACAACCTATAAGTTGTGATTGTATTCAAGCAATCAAATTGTACGATATTTTTTWTTTTTATTACATCATTCACAAAACTACTCTTAGTAAATCTTATTAATTATTATCATTGAGTCATTTTACATAGGTATTAAAAACAATGACGCAACAACAATTCTGTACAAACCATATTTACGTATCAGTTGTATTTTTCCGCAAAGATATATTTTCAGAAATGCAATTATTACAACAAAAACTAAACAAATTATTATTTTAATAAAATTAATTTCACACAAATAAATATTTATATAATTTAATATTTAAATATTTAAATATCAAGATTGATTTTTTTTTTTATCATTATTAAAATGTCCATACAAGAATCATTGCAACTTCCAAAGAGAACATTTTTAACAATAATAAAGATTTTATGTTAAAGAATACTTGGAGAATCATTTTTTTTTGTGCTCAGATAGCCTATAATCTCGTCGGTTAATAGTTAATGGAGATCCCATATATTTCGACTGTCGATATTTATATTGTTTTTCTCTAATCATCTAGTGATCTAAAAACAAGATATTCTACATAACTACTTTCAAGAGGAAGCAGAATAAAATTTTATTATTTCCAATGCAATTTTCAATTTAAAAAAATACTAGGAGTTATTCTGAATTTGTAAAGCTATCCATCTAAGTCAATACAGCACTTAAAATCAAAAAAGCGAGTAAGTCGTGKATGTCGCTCTGCTGTACAGTAGGTTACAAGTGGGTTACTGTAATGGATGGAATTAAATTTGAATCCAATGATATTATATCATTGTATACAAAAAACGATTCTGAGCGAAGACGGTTTATCTGTCTAGGATATATTATAGATTATTAAAAATTTTCAAATCTTAGATTTAAAAAGAAAAATTTTTATGAAATTCTAGTTTGAAATAATTTGCGAATTTTCGTGATTTTTACATATGTTGTCAAAATTCAATCTTTGAATGCTTGTAAAAAAAAAATTGTGACTAAGCATTTCTTTTATTTTTCAATTTTTATTGTAAAAATATATTATGAGCCTTGTATTACATTTTCAAATCTTAGATATAAAAAGAAAATTTTTTATGAATTTCTAGCTTAAAATAATTTCTATATTTTCGTGATTATTACATAACCTTAAGTTAAGTAGTTAAGAATATAATAATGTCTCATATTTTATTAGATATTTTATTTACAATTCTATGTTTAATATGCTATAAAGTATAAATTGAATCGGAGTTACAAAATAAGTTTGTCTCGCTTCATAATGAAACAACGTTTTATTTGCATCAATATTTTACTGTAGCCAACAGTGAGTCCAAACCAGTAACATGATACCCCTTTTCCCGGCACACCACCTACGCATTGATGCTAATAAACAACATTTTTATCAATTTTTATTTTATTTTAAATTCATATACATAATATGAATTACAGGGCCCCACTGAGAAGATTCGTATGGGGGCCAAAATGTTCAATCTTTTCAATCAGGGCGTCATTAAACACGGTAAAGGAAAAAAGGCATGGGGAAATCGCACTAAAACAACAATTACAAACAGATCACAACATGTTTGAAATTATATTGTGATTGTAGGTATWATTGTATATTTTATCTTTATAGAACTGTATAATTTTAACTATTTTAAGTACCTAAGATCAAATAATTTTGGGTATGGAGAGTTACTAACATAGTATCGTCGTATGTCGTATAACTTATGTACAGAGTTATTCAAAAAGCATGCTCWCAATGTTTTTCATTTTGTTCGAAATTATGATTTATTAGAATAAATTCTCAAGTACCTATACTTAATGTTTTATTTTAAAATGCTTTAATTATGTGTAACATTCTATATTTAAGAAATGTCTAGTACCAACCATTTATTCAAATGATAATTCCCATTTATAAATAATAATTTCTCCTGAACGTTTTTATAGAGTTACCTTGATGATTTTTTCTTAAAAATGTCGATGTATCCAAACCTATTTTTAACTTTTATTCTGAATTTAACTAAGAATTTTTGAGTTATTTAATATTGTTCTGATATAGGAAACCACACTGCAAACTCCATTAGTAGGTATGTATAATAATATAGCAAAGCGTTTTTGGTTTTTTCACGAATTAAAACATATTGTATTTCATAAAGCGCAGCCAACAAGCTATTAACTTACAAACCACGTCTAGATATCAAAATAAAATAAAACGACTCGAGTAGTCTAGTATATGTGAGTTCACGGTGTTTTGCACACACACACACACACACACACACACACACACACGCATACACACCTTGCAATAATTTCGAATCACATACGGCAGAATCTCCCCGCACAAAGCTAAAGCGATCAGCCACATTATTGTCAAGTCAAGCAATCACCCACACACAACTATATACAATATATAAGTCATTAATATACGTCGAATTTACTCGGTTCGGGGCGGTCCACCGACGAAGAATCGTGCGGGCCGAAGCAACATGCCGCTGTCCCGTGTCAGAACCATTTCCTTCATACTCTCGTCGAACGACCGCCGTCTTGTGGTTGGACTACTGGATTTCTTCGGCACGATCTCTTCGGTCTGGTCTTTGAGGCCAAATATAGATAACAATTAAATCGTTTTTGGCCGATCGAAGTTTGAAAGTTGCGGGAATCGGGTAAGGCGAGGGAAAACAAGTGTGGGTGGACTCGAAAGATTCCTCGGGTCGAAAACAATAATAATAATAATAAAATGTAATTTATACGTCGAATTCCTTCACGAACAGCTTTTCCTATATTCAAACACCCTTTATTTTATAGTTTTCGCCGTAAACCTAATAACCCGAATCCATCGTGTCCCATACCACACGTGCCAACACATTATCGAAACTCGGTCGCCAACACGCGTATAACAACATCACATATTATACGATATAGGTACCTGCGATGTTATAAAGGTAATGGCCCTCGCCGGACTTGGCATCTTTGACAGAAACGGAACAAAAGAATCATCATCTCTATAAACGCTAAAATATATTATTATATGTCTATTATAATAATATATATTATATAGGTCAACACGGAAACGTTTTATTACAATTATAATATCCTTGGTGCACGTATGTCATTATATAACGTATAATATACAGGCACGTGATTGYCGTTACACAGACTGCATAAGTACCGGGATAGACATTAGATGATCCGGTTTGGTTGGGTTCACTTGGGAAAAAGTTACGACCGTTGATGCACAACACACACTAAAGTTATATATATATATAATATACAGATTAAAGGTATATACATYTTATTAAGTATCTCACTCGTGGTCATATTAAATTATTTACCGTTGTTGAATATATAATATTATTATTATCCGACGGAAGATTTCATTGRCGCAGTGCACGCGCTTTATAATATGAAAACGATTATTATTATTATCGTAGTGTTGGGAATTTCGGACGTGCAGAGATCGATATTTTTTACTATCGCCACGCGCAAGACCATTAAATAAAAATACAAGTGTCAWTGCTACCATGGTCGTCGTACGGAAGGGTCGAATACCTATCTACCCGTATGGGTAAAATGTGAATTTGCTTTTGAAATTTCCCGGAAGTATCATCTACAATCGTGATAAAAAAAATTTTTTGGGCGCTACACGAGTATTCGTGGCGGAGATACGACAGTTACTTATCGATATCAAAAGAGTGTTTTTTATATTTACGCGAGGTTGGGTGTTTGTGAGCAAACGCTTTTCTTATCGGGGACGATCGTTTTGAAACTCGGAAAGRAAAGATACGTTTTTCAGTGAAACTCRATCCGTATTTGGGTATACGGTTAAGTTTTGTTGAAAAACGAGTGTTTGATTGTAAATATTCTTCGGTGCGTTTTTCACGGCCTTCTTCTCGGAAATTACTACTCGAAAATTCGAAAAACGACCTCTGGTCAGCCTGATCTATATAAATTACAGGACAGCGGACGGGTTCAATTTTTAACGCTTGGAGAAACGCAAAAGCTTTTTACGGCTTGAAAAAAACTGTTTCTGAAGGAAAAAACATAAAAACGCCCTTTACTGTCGTAAACCAGCGACATCAATAGCTTAATCTATAACTTACCCAACCCAATATGCGTATAGGATACTTCATATTTTATCATACGGATTTCAGCCCCCACTTCTATCTACCCTAATAGACACACACACACAATCACAATTATTATGAAGTATCGATATGAATAATTTCAAAATTCAAAGTATACAATTTTTTTAATAATTAAACTACTCATCTAAGTTAATTATATTTTAATCGTCCTAAAATAATATTATTACTTACAGAAAGTTAAATAAAAATAAATCGATTGAAGGAGAGAAATCAGATTTTTTAGAAAAATATTCTGCTAAAATTTATGAGATAAAAATAATTATTGGCAGGTAATCATAAAAATGTATTGTTAGTAATTATTTATTATGGAAGATAATAGTTTTAAATATATTTTGCTACGAGTATATTTTCATAGAGTTGCAAACGATGTGAATACACTAAAGTTRACCTACATAATTATAGATGTTATTTRCTTTCAAAAATGTCTTGTACTTAATATTTAAAATTTAAATGTAGTTTTAATGCAAAATAACTGTCAGATCGTCGTGGTACATCCTGTGCATATTTATAAATATGATTTATGATATATTTTGACATTTTGTTCGTAACGGCTGTACCTACATACTCGTATACTGATAATAATAWGACTTAACCTATAAAATATTGAACGCTTTTACCTTGTTCGGTGACGTCCGGATGTGGCGTGACCGGATACTTGCGATAGTTGGCCATCTGCTCTGTCTCACCATCCATCGGCCCTTCGTCCATCCTCAGCCCGGTGCCTGGTCGTAGGTTGTCTGCCCGCCGGCCGTCCGGATGTGGCACATACTGGTCGTGCTGTTCGGACCGGGCGCCAACGCCTTCCGGTGCCGGTTCGTCTGCGCACACAAACCGTCCAATGTGACTTCCCTGTCGGCCGGCCAAATTGCGCTCCCTGGGCACGTCCTGGTATCGTTCGGCGTACTCGGCGGTGAACTCGGCTTCACCTTCCACCTGCAGCTCATCTTTGGGCACTGCTGCGTGCCTCCTGTTGTTACTCATTTCCTCGGCTGTACGGTATGGTGGTTCGAAACTACACCTGCAACGTCACACTTGCATTTTTTATATTTTTTTTTTTATCATGGCTATCCGTAATATTACTATCGTGATAAAAAAAGCAAAACAATTTTATAATTTTTATTTTTTGTATAAATATCGAACAAAATAGTTTTTCACTTATACGTTTTAGAAGTATGTATGAATTTAAAGTTGATCAAAACAAATCATTACACACTAATTTCACACTTAGGCAAGCYCCTTGTCAAATGTAATACTTTATGACATCCCCMWYCCYTWA